AGAAGCATCATCTAAACCGTGGTCCCCCTCCCGCACTCACCCCAACCGTGCACCCCCGAAAGCGTTTTGCCTTTCCCCAAATATGCCCCGAGCGGCTCCGCTGCAGCGTGGCTGTTTCCCGCAGGAGCTGATTCCTGGGGGAGTCTGGATGATGGAGGTACGGGGGGTTTTGGCAAGAAAACAAAAGCCAGGGTTGTGCGGGGCTCGGGCCGCGGGGGGGCACGGCCGCGGTGCCCGCCCGGTGCTCCGAGTCCTCCGCGACCTTCGTTCCCCGGCTCTATCGACATCCTCGCCTCGCCAGCCGCGTGTCCCCCGGCTCTATCCGGTCTTCTGCCAGAAGACCGCTGCAGTAACAGAGAGAAATAACCAGGGACGACGTTTTCAAACTGAAATCCGCCCGTCCCGGGAGCACCTCGGTGAGAGATGTGGGGACAGCGAGCGTCCAGGATGGCTGGAAGAAATATTTCAATGAGTTGGAAACACTCGAGCTGCTGTTTCACCGGTGAGGCTGGGAAGAGCTTGTTTTTCCAACCTCGGGGTGCCCGGCGCGCCGTGGAACGGCGTCCTCGAGGCAGGAATTCACAGGCACCGCTTCGGCATTTTAGGCGACACGTGGCTCCTAGTTCCCTTCAAACGGATTTATTTTATTTGGCCTCCTGCTTCCCCACCCTTCCCTCGAACGCCGGCTCCTCGGTAGCATCTGAAAGGCCTCTGGTCCCATTTGCAATTAAAGAGTTTATTGAGGAGGGGAAAACCGGTAATTAGCAGGAATATTCCCCCCCCTCCCCAGTTCCACCTGCAGGGCAGGAGTGCAGCTGGCGGAATGGCTTCCAGCAGGGACCTGACGCACCCACACAAGTTTTGCTTTGTTTTTTTTGCGGTGCCCTTCGGTGCGAGGGCTCCCCGGGATGGGTCCGCACCTCCAGCGCGGAGCTCCGCGCTGCCCTCACCCCATTATTTTTTGGAATGTTTAAGACGACGCGCGTTTCTCCCTCTCTCCATATTAATCTCATTAAATCCTACCTTTCAACCTTCTTCTGTGACCATCTGACCTGGCCACTTGAATTAAAATAGTGCTTTCTCCGCAGTCAAAGCCAGCACATCAATCACCGGCTATTTACACTTCGCTCCTCTCTTCAAAGCGGCTCTGCCCCAGCGCTCGCTACCTCCGCTCGGGGGGGCGGCCAGGTCCTGGGGGGCTCCCCGGCGCTCCGAGGGTGTCTCTCCTTCCTCTCCCCCCTTTCCTCAGGTGTCTGGTGGCTTCCCCCGTCCCTGGGGAGCGCTGCCCCAGCGCGCTGCCTTCCACCTGAAAGGCAGAGCAGAGCGGCCGCCCTCCCTCCCCGACCCCTCCCGCGGGGCCCGGGGCCCTCCCGGCGGGGCTGCCGCGACAAACCGAGGGTAAACCGCCGCAAACACCGACAAACCCGAGCCGGGGATGAGGAGCGAAGCTGCCGAACGTTGGAAAAATTGTGGTAGAAATACGAGAAATACCGACAAAACACAACAGCGCAAGTTCTCTTATTTTAAAAGTTATTACTTTTAAAGTTAGACAACCCCTCCCGAGCCGAAAGGGGAGAGGAAGGGGGAAAAAAAAAAAGGAAAAAAAAAAAAGAAGAAAATACAGACAGACACTGGTTGAAAAGTTACGTAAATAAACATTTTTCAGATTAAAAACAAAAGCATGTCCAAACTAGGAGCGTTTACAAGATGACAACTGTTAACAAACTTCCTCTACAGCATTGCTATTTAGAAGTAATAATAATAATATAGTAATAATCACCTCTTTATAGGATGGCACCTTGATCCTTAAATATTGTCCAGTGTGTAAGGTCAGTGTGCGGAGGGTTAGGAGCGGAGAGGGCTGATTTTTCTTAAAGGGGCAGATCAGGGGAAGGCTGTGATGGTGCCGGCAGAGAGGAGGGGGCAGAGATAAGTGGTCTGAGGAAGAGGATAGGACAAAAAAAAAAAAAAACCAAGAAAAAAAAAAGGGGAAAAAAAAAACCACCACCAAACCAGCCCGATGATGATGAATACATTGGAAAGTTTTTTTGGCCCTGGTGAGGGTGTCAGATTGAATGCTCTGTGCGCATGTGCGAAGGTGTCCAAACTGACAATGCTGGGGAGATGAAGATAGTGTGTAGCTGCTTCTGGGCTCAAGGAGGAGGAGAGGAATCCACACGCCGACACGATGAGATCCAAGGCGAGGGCGAGAAAACTGCCCAAAAGTAGGTCCTTTCTCTCCTTTCTTCCGCGTACCGGCGGCGGGGCCGGGGGCACGGAGCCGGGCCGGGGGCTGCGCGGGGCTGAGCCCCTCTCGCCC